TGCTTAGTGGACTCGAGCTGCCATTTCTTAAATGATGAATGATACTTATTTGTTGAGCAGGATTTCTTTAAGAAAGAAGAGCCATGAGATTATGGCATGGGTGTCTATGCAACAGAGAGATAGATGTATGCTTTTATGAAGAGGGATTTTTTTAAAGCCAAGTCCGGGAGCATGAAGATGATCTTTGGACATCACATTTTTAACCATCACACTTGTTTTCTGGTGATATTTCAATTTCTCATCTGACTGAGTGTTAAAAAGACCTCCTTCACAAAAAGGTAAGTCCTTGATTGTTGTTCTTGCCTTGTGACTAAGGCCTGCAGATGTTAGTTGAACATGCTTTTAAAAGCCATAACTTTTGCATGGCAGGCACAGCAATTCATGCAGTGCTGATTTGATGTCCTGTCAAGCAGCAAGCTTCTGTTTCAAAAGATAGCAGCTACTTTTGTCTCATCCTCTGGAAGGCTGTTGATGCAACATTCTTCCATAGGAACTGTTGGTAAGTATCCATGTATGCTTCAAAACTAATTATACAGAGAGACAACATGGCTGCAGTGTATCATTTCCTTGCCTAGGCATCAAACTTTCTGCCTTCCCATTTCTGTGAGTCACAGAGATTTTGAAGATCAGGTTGCTTACCTGTAAATGTGGTTCATCTTTGAACTCACACAACTTATCCTTCTCTCATTATTGTAATTAATACTTGTATTTGTGGTTTGGGGTGGTTGTTCAAATGGGATTGGAGGAATAAATGGGAGCTGAGCCTATGCATAGTCATATGAAAATGAATGGGTCTGCTGCCAAAATGATCATGCTGTTAAACTTCCTGAGAGATGGACTGCATATCATTGGATGATGGTACCCCCTTTGGGTAGTTAAGAGATCATCACTATAAAAACCACTGATGCAAGTTAGCAACCTGTTCTTGGTGGATTTGAATGAATCATTTGCACTCCACCAGAAGAGTTGATGTTTTAACATCAGTAAGGTCATATCAGAGATGCCTTCTGTACGTTGTAGACTGAAGCTCTCATCACCCTCTCAATTGGCCATGCTAGCTCAGGCTGATAGGATTTGCACTCTAACCATGTTTGGAGAGCCTCACAATCCCCATTCATGTTCTATCTTTCTTTCTTTAGCTCCTGTTTGTATGGCTTGACTATTTCTGGGGCTTTAGGGGGGAAGCAGACGGGCAGCTGTAGGCCGCCCCGGGAAGCTGCACCGCAGGGCCGAGGTATCCCCACACCTCCGCCCCGTGGCACAGCTTCGCCACCCCTGGAAGGAGTGCTAAAATAGCGCTCCTTCCACAAGTTGCTGAAGGTGCGCCACAAAAGGCTGGCGGCGCACCTTCGGCGACTCTTCCACCGCAGCGTGTGTGAACGCTGCAGTGGGAAGGCATTGTCGGAGCGCCGACCATGCGGAGGGGCCAGCGCTCTGATGATGCCTTCGGGAAGGGGTTGGGGCACCCTCCGTGCGGCTGCCCCTCCCCTTCCTTGCCCCCCAAATGGCCCTTTGTGCCGTCTGCTTCCCCCCATAGTCACTGTGATCTCATTTTATTTTGCATGTTGTCAATTTGAGGTTTTTGGGTCTGTGCCCCATAATAAAGAATTGTTTTTGTTGAGAGTCAATAAGTTAGCTTTTTGAACCCTCATCCAGATGTATAAAAAATTCCATTGAGTTTGGGGGGGTTCTGCCCCCACGGGAATCATGTTGTATTTCAGGGGATAAAAATGCTGCCTGTTCACAGGAGAATTTGTGGGTATAAAATTAAGAATATGACACACACACTAACTATCCAGAACCAGAAAATACATATTTATATGAGACAGAATACAGACTGTAGACTACCATGATTGCAATTCTGGAGTTGGTTGGTCTCCTAGCCACCATGGCTCTGCAGAGGTGGGATCGGTTTTATATCCAAAAAGTGTTAGCAGCCACACTGAATGGAAAAGAGGGATGCATAGCATAGTGAAATAGAAACCACTGAAGAGACAGCATTGCTGGATTAGAAGTAGATTCCCAGGGTCTTAAGCCCTTTTTCTGGGAAAGCTGAAGACTTCTTCAATTAAGACTCGGCCTCCTTTAGCAGAGTTCAGAAGTGGAAGCACTAAATTGCTTGGGTCTCTCTGAGACTAGTTTTAACCTTCTCCTTCTGGCAATGTGGCTACTGGAAGATTCTCAAAGTCCAGGAACTTTAACATCCATTTGCAACACAAGAAGATACTTCCTTTGTAATCCAATCTATCTCCACCCTTTGTGAGGCCACAGGCTCCTTTGTTAGGCAGAGGATCCTGAATTTCTCAGGAAGTCTTCAGTGTTTTTGCATCAGGAAAACTTGAGGTGGTGTTGAGGTAAAACATGCCAGTGCAGTCCTAATTTTAGAAATTGGATGGAGACATACTGGTGTGTCTGTACCAAGGGCCATAGCTGCCAGCACACTGTGGCAAAGAATGTGGATGGGAGGAGGGAGAAAGGTCTTTGAGGATGATAGAAGCAAAACTTAAGTTGTTAGTTCAGATCTGGCAAAGGATGTGCTGTTGTGCTGAGCTTTCCAATAAACCCTCTGGTTTCATCCATGAAGTGTGTTCATAGAATTAGATAGAGACAAGACATTAAAGCAGGAAGCAGAATCCTGCCCTTTCCAGTAGGTTCATGCAGAAGCAAACTGCTGCAGCCTCTGCTAGCTTGTGTGTTCTTCCTTGTGTAAGGCTGGATGGCCATCTGTCAGGGATGCTTTGATTGGGAGTTCCTGCATAGCAGGGGGTTGGACTGGATGGTCCTTGTGGTCTCTTCCAACTCTATGATTCTATGATTCCTTGTTAATTACTTTTACCATCTTGACCACACTCTGATGCTGCTTTGTCACACATTTCCTGATTTTCACCTGTGAAATGTTGGAGAGTATGCTTATCTGAAACTGAATTGAGGCAATATTCCTTTGCCAAGACCATTGTCAGAAAGGCTAGTGCTTCAGTTTCAAGGGTGTGTAAGCTCTTTTAACCTGAGAGCTTGATTCAGTTTCAGATATGTTATCTGGCTTATCAGATATATTTCAGATAAGTTATCATCCTAGAGGCAGGCAGGCCCAAAAGCAAAAGGGTAAAACCAAAATGGCAGCATATTTTATCTTAAAGCTCTTACTATCTATAACTAAGCCCTAGGAAAGGCATTTGGACCTTTTTGAATGGAGAGGGAGCTGAGACACTCCAAATAATGGCATCATGTGGAAGGAGCTTGCCTATCTCATAAAGCCTGGAAGGGCCAGATTTTGCCCCAGAGATTGAATCCCCCCTTTTATGTGTTTAAATTCTTGCCCTCATTTTAATTTTCTATCCATTTTACTTTGTACAGACATGAGAATGACAAGTCTGTAATTTGTTAAGTATTAGTGTTAACTTGGCCGCCTTCCAGTCAATGAGGAAAGAGCCTGATTTCAGAGTCAGGTTATGTATTTCAGTGAATAGCTGAGCTATTTCACATTTTGGTCTTTTAAGAATTGTGAAGTGAATGTCATTTGGCCCCAGCAATGTGTTACTTTTTAATTTGTCCATTAGCTCTAAATGCTGTCCTTTGTTACTTCAGGTTGAACCGCTTCTTCAGATGCTCTACTAGGAAAAACAGCAACAAATGTTTAGGGCAGAGGTGAGTTCTGTAGTGAAGAGCATACAAAGCCAGAAAATCCATTCAGTTTCTTGGCAGTTTTTCCGTTCACATTCTTGCAACAACTTTCTAGCATATTTCCATTTGTGTGGGTGGATAGTAATAGTGGAAGGATTTTGGTGCCGTTTGGGTCTAAAAAAAAATCACAACCAAAAATGACTTCAGTTCATGAGTTGATTATGTCCCATTTGTTCTGATTATATGAAAACCTGTACGGCTGTAACATATTGTACATGGGGCTGCCTTTGGAAACTGGAACCCTCATCAGGTTCAAAATGCTACCGCCTGAATGCTGATTGGGGCCAGTTTGTTGTTGTTGTGTGTCTTTAAGTCATTTCTGACAGGGCAACCCTGTGAACCTATTGCAGGGTTTTCTTGGCAGGATTCGGTCAGAAAGGGGTTTGCCTGTGACTCCCTCTGAGGCTGAGAGAATGTGACTTGCCCAAAGTCACCCAGAGGGTTTCCATGGCTAAGTGGGGATTCAAACCCTAATCTCCCAAATCATAGTCCAATGCTCAAACCACTATACCACACTGGGGCCAGTTACAAGGAGCATATAACTCCCTTATTGAAATAGCTTCACTGGCTATTAAATTGTTTCCTGGCACAATTTAAAGTAATGTTCTGACCTATAGCTTGGGATGCAGTGGCTCAATTGATTAAGATGCTGACTTTGTTGATGGCAAGATCGGCAGGTTGGCAGTTTGAGGCCCAGGTGCTGCATGATGGGATGAGCTCCTTTCACTAGTCCCAGCTTCTGCCAACCTAGCAGTTCGAAAGCATGCAAATGGAAGTAGATAAATATGTACCACTTTGGTGGAAAGGTAAACAATGTTCTGCACAATCATGCTGGCCACATGAACACAGAGTAGTCTCTGACAATGCTGGCTCTTCAGCTTAGTAATGGACATGAGCACCACCGCCTATGGTCGGACATGACTGGCAACCTTATCAACGGGGAATACCTTTACCTTTTACCTTTTCTGACCTATAAAGCCCTATATGACTTAGGTCCAAACTATCTGAAAGATTGTATCTCCCTGTACAAACCTGCCAGAGCCTTGAGATTAGATAGATTATCAGGCTTTTAGTTTATCTTTTTCCAGCTTTTGTAAGCTACCTTGGGTCCCATCCTGAGAGAATTATTATTATTATTAGTATTATTATTATTATCCCACCCCTCTGCGTAATGTAACCGGGGTGGCTTAGGACATATCCCACAATCCCACCCTCCCTTAAAATACAATTAAATAATGATGATTAAAACACATTTAAAATAAGGAGGTATATATAAGAAATATTATATATATAAAGTTAGGTAGTTAGTTCCAGGGAGAACCAGTGTGGTGTAGTGGTTTTTGTGTTGGGCTACAACTCTGGAGACCAGGGTTCAATTTCCTGCTCAGGCATGAAACTCACTGAGTGACTTTGGGCAAGTCACATGCTCTCAGCCTCAGGGGAAGGCAATGGCAAACCTCCTCTGAACAAATCCTACCAAGAAAGTACATAGTACCCAAAGCCCACCAAGGTGTCTCTGCTTGACAGATGGCTCAGAGGCAAACCTATGGTTAGCTCAATGGTTCATGTTCATTGAGGGTTCACTGGTCAATGGAAAGTGTATCTATTTATAACTCATTTGCCAACTCATTTGTTGCATCTGTTACATTTTTACAAGCACATACAAAGAAATCACTTTTCATTTATACCTTGGGCTGCATCCACACTGCAGAAATAATCCAGTTTGATGCCACTTTAATTGCCATTGAATTCTGGGAATTGTAGTTTGTTGTGATACAAGAGATCTCTGGCAGTGAAGGCTAAATGTCTCACAAGACTACAGTTCCCAGACTTACATATTTGAGTCATGGCAGTTAAACTGATGCCAAACTGGATTATTTCTGCAATGTGGATGCAGTCCTGGAAAGTGTATTATGCAAAAGTGTGCTGAGAATTTAGCCAGCATCGGTGTGGATTGGATTGCTTTCTGTTCCTGGATTTTGACAGGAATTATAACTGCATACTTTCATGTCTGGTAATTTGTCAAAACCTACCCCAAAGTTTTGTGCCTCAAACCTCAGGTTTTGTGCCAGCACACCCTTTACTGTATACTAACATATCAAACATGACCCATCACCACCAAATAATGTCTCCTCCAAAACTATGACAAGGTTTTGTGTTAGTTTTACGCAGGTTTGTGCTGCAAGCCCTGCATTTTGTGTTACCTCTCTAAGTATAAAAATGCCACATTCAGAGAGGGCTCTTTTACAAAGCAAATAGGGTCTCTCTCCTTTCTGCCTTCTCTATTATTTCAGTTGTTTCAGCATATTTAATCCTGTTTGCAGGTGACCTATATTTCCTAATTCCACACTGATCTTTAAGTAAAGAAACCATCACTCTCAGACTTCCTCCCTTGATGGGTCTTTTCTGTAGTTGGGAAATTTGCCTTGAATTTAATCAACTTGTTATCAGTCCTTGTCTAGTCATAAACTGAAATATATTAAGGAACTTCAACAACACCTTTATTCCTGTGTTCACAAAGAATCATCAATTTCTGTGACATTTTACAGAGTTTTAAAAAAAACAAAAACAGAGCTATGAGTCCTTGCCCCCAAAGGGTTCTGGGATGCAAGAAAGCATTGTGATGCAGCTTTGGAAGGAGGAGGAAGGTAGTAGTAGTAGTAGTAGTGGGGGGGGGGGGGAGGAAAATAGAATTTAACTTTTAGGCTCCATCAGTAAAAACATAGCTCCCAAGTCACAAAATTTAGCCATTCCTCTTGATTCTGCACAATATTAGCCTCATCTGAAATACTGTGTCCCAGTGCTAAACTTTTAAGAAGGATGTCAATGAACTGAAACATTCAGAGTAAACCAATGACGGTTGTCAAGAGAGTAGCAAACATGTCATGTGAAGGATCTGGATTTGTTTAGCCTGAAGAAGAGAAGATTGAGGGAGTTGAGGTATGATAGTACTCTTCAAATGGGTGCCACACAGATGATGGGAAAACCTTTGCAGCCCAGAGTCCAGGGCTACATCTAATGGACTTACATGAAGCTGAATATTAGGAAGAATGTTCAGTTAAATCAGGGGTCCCCAAACTTTTTTGGGCTACCACCACTTTTCCTCTTGGGCGGCAATCCTAACACTCCCTCCCCCCACCGTGTAGTTCTTGTTCTACTTCAGATTCAATATAATCAATCTCGATCACTGCTCCCTTTGCACCTGGTCACCTTGGGAGCAACAACTGAGCAGCTGGCTAAGCAGTGACTAAGAAGCTTCTTGCTTGTACCGGCCTTGTGGCAAAGACTCATGTAGGCAAGAGACTTCTCAGTCACTGCTTGACTGACTGCTTGGTTGCTGCTCCCTTTGTACCCAGTCACCCTGGAAGCAGGTGGCTGAGCAGTGATCAAGAAGCCTCTCACTTGTGCCAGCCTTGTGGCAAAGGCCAGTGCAGGCAAGAGGCCTCTCAGTAACTGTTCAGCCAGCTGCTCAGTTGCTGCTCCCAAGGTGACCAAAGGGAGAAGCTTCTCCCTGATGAGGAAGTACTCTCCATCCTTCTTTGTTAGGCTAGAGAGAGGTATAGAGGGGTGTGTGTAGGAGGTTTACAGAGGCCACATGCTCTGGACTGGAGACTGCTGTAGACAGGGAAAGAGATTATAACTACAGGACTCTTTCCAAGAATCCAAGGCAGAGGACTCTTTCCAAGAATCAATCTTGGATACTCATCCCCTTGGGACACATCTTCTTCACATTGCTTTTTCTGCTACCTCTTCTCTCAGCCTGTCAGATGAAAGAAAGCAGAAGCAGCAGCACAATTCCAACTTGCCAATCAAGTCCCAGCAAAACTCACAGATCTTAAGCAGGGTCCTAAATGTGAAAACTTCTCTTTGCCATCAGTTCTCTTCCTCCAGCATGTGCTCCAGCTCCTTGCTGCAGTCAGTCTGTCCCCAAATTGTGCCATTCCAAGCCACAGAATCATTGCCCTGCACTCAAGCTTCATAACAGTTTCCCAACCACCACTGCCTCTACTAGCAAAACATGCTGCTAAGGGAATGAGCTCACATGGGCAGGCGAAGAACTGGAGACATCACCATATGAAGTGATCAGTGAGCCTATGCGGTGGTTTTGAGGGACCCTGAAAGGAAATTTCATGCAACCCTCATCTCTACCATGGTCCTAAAGGCTGCTGGCTCCCCTTCTCTTTCTTGCACACCAACACTTTGACGGAAGGCCTCCCTGGTGCCCCCTTTCCCCCCATGGCTGAGTGAGGAAAAGAACTCTGCTCTCCACAGTTATAGTCCAATGCTCAAATCCCTACACCATGCTTGTTCTCAGAATAAGATCAAAAAGATGTTCATTCTCACATTTGTGGAAAAAAGATGGCTGCCATAGCACATTGTTTTTGCCCTATACCTACCTTCCATTTAATGTGGTTTGTTTTGTGATTGGCTATTGAAAGGTAAACATGGACTTAATTTAGGGGTCACAAATCTCTGAGGAAATCTCATTGGGAGAAAGAAAATGGACTACTTATGTGCATTCCCCTTAACTTAGAATCTAGAATCATAGAATCATAGAGTTGGAAGAGACCAGAAGGGCCATCCAGTCCAAACCTTTGCCATGCAGGAACTCAAAATCAAAGCACCCCCAACAGATGGCCATCCAGCCTCTGTTTAAAGACCTCCAAAGAAGGAGACTCTACCACCCTCCGAGGGAGTGTGTTCCACTATCGAACAGCTCTCACTGTCAGGAAGTTCTTCCTAATGTTGAGGTGAAATTTCTTTTCCTGCAGCTTCCATCCATTGTTCCGAGTCCTATTCTCTGGAGCAACAGAATACAAACTAGTGCCCTCCTCAATATGACATCCCTTCAAATATTTAAACAGGGCTATCATATCCCCTCTTAACCATCTCTTCTCTAGGCTAAACATATCCAGTTCCCTAAGTCGTTCCTTGTAGGGCATGGTTTCCAGACCCTTCATCATTTTAGCCGTCCTCCTTTTCAACATCCTTTTTGAATTGTGGTGCCCAGAACTGGACACAGTATTCCAGGTGGGGCCTGACCAAAGCAGAAGACAATGGCACTATTACTTCTCTTGATCTAGATACTATGCTTCTACTAATGCAGCCTAAAATTTCATTGGCCTTTTTAGCTGCGGCATCACACTGTTGACTCATGTTCAACTTGTGGTCTACTAGGACTCCTAGATCCCTTTCACACATCGTCTGGTTAAGCCAGGTGTCCCCCATCTTATATCTATGCATTTCATTTTTTTGCCCTAAGTGCAGTACCTTACATTTCTCCATGTTGAAATTCATTTTGTTACCTGGCTCAGCTTTCTAATCTATTCTACTTCAAAATGAGAAGTTTGACTTATGTCAATAACTTAAATCACACTTCTAAAGTCAGACTAAATTAAATTGCCTTCATAGCAAAATAAGCCACTCTGCAGAATACAGACCTATTTACACAGTTGTAAATTCTATACAGAGGTAATGAATGTGAATAGGTCCAGCACTATATCTAGATGGGAGTGAGTGACTGTGATCCTCCTGATGCTCTTGGACTGCAACGTCCATCAGCCCCAGCCAGTTTAGTAATGGTGAAAGATTGTTGAAATTATAGTCCAATGACCTCAGAGAAGCTATAGCTTCCCATTTCTGACCTACAAAGATAAATATCTATTTAGCAGCATTATTATAGTGTAAATATTCTCCTCATAGATATCAAAATAAATTTGAATGAGACTTATGCAAATTTCCTTGTGAGAATATTGCTTTCCAAAGCCCTTGAGCATTCCCAAGGTGTAATTTAGAAGCTGTAGGTCTTTGGCCTCTTCCTTTCATTGACATTCTTTATTTATTCTTATGTACTTTGCCCTCTTTCTTAAGCTTAATAAGAGGGAAGTGAAAAAGTCTGTGATAGGTGCAACATGTTTGTCATTTCTTTATAACTCTTCGGTCTACTTCAATGAATTACATTTCACAGAAATGACATAGTTCTGTAATACCACCTGGCGAGATATATATAACTGCTATACAACCCTGCCACCAAAGGAGGGGCCTATTCCATCTTAACAACTCCTGGATCAAATTGTTATCTCACTAATCACTTCAAGTTAAAGTCCACAGTGAATGAACCGTACCTCATCATGATGCATCAGCATAATTATAAAATTGTTTGACTGATTGCACAGATCACTGTTTACCTTCCCACTGACAAATGGCACCTATTTATCTACTGGCATTTGCATGCTTTCGAACTGCTAGGTTGACCGAAGCTGGGACTAGTGATGGGAGCTTACCCCATCATGTGGCACCTGGGCCTCGAACTGCCAACCTGCCAATCTTGCAATCAACAGAGTCAGTGCCTTAACCACTTGAGCCACTGCATCCCTACAATGGTGCACAA